CTCTAATAAGAATCACAATTGAAAGGTGTTTTATACGAGAGTAATTATTTGTTATTACTACAACTTCCAATGATTACAATTTTTATTGAGTTGATATACAAACGTAACGGAGAAATTTTTGGTCAAATTTAAAGTGTTATATTTTTTGTTATTTTTAGCCCTATTTTCATGAATTTTTATCAACCTGTACATAATTACGAGTATATCAACTTTAATTTGTAAACTCAATTTTTATAAACTTTAGTATTTGGCATATTATACAGGGTTAATCCAGGAGTTGTTTTGCAATAATTTCGTGTGTAAATTTTATTAAAATATAATTTTACGGTAAGAACCATGTCTCCTGAGCATTTTGTTTTTGGATTATGTCAATATATATGCCTTGGTTAATTTTGAAGAGCGAAATGAACTTGACACCAATAATTTGCAATTTTTTCAGTTATCATTTTATCAAGTTATTTTTCAATATGGCAAGCCGGCTTTGGTGATTATTGTGAACTATAACTACTATGAACTGCCCATCATGTTCGACGTTTAAGACATGCTTGGCAGAAGGGTTAGAGGTCGCGAAGCGATACCAGCTTCATTAAATGAACTTCGCTTGGTTCTTAAAGAAGAACGGGAAAGCATAACGCAATATGATATATGCAGCCTCAATGACAGTGTGGACGGACGTATAAAGGCAGTTATAACAGCCAAGGGAAGCATTGCAATGTATTAGGATATTTTTACAAATTTTTTCTGTTTGTATACTAAGTATTACAGATGCTTTCTTTAATATCGTTAGTTCTGTTATCGTTATTAATGTTTATTAAAACCAGGACTGTATCGTTAGTCTTTAACTTTTTTTTATATTTAGTATAAAGTATCAATGCAGCGTAATATGACATTACGACAATAATCACCAAAATCATCTCGCCATATTAAAAAATTAAATCAAAAAGTAGTGATAATTGAAAAATTGCAAATTGAGCGTGATCAGTTCATTAAAAAATCGCTCTCAAAAATTACCCAAAGGATGTATTGACATTAATCATAAAACAAAATGCTCAGGAGTCATGGTTCTGACAGTAAAAGTATATTTAAGAAAATTTACACACGAAATTATTGCATAGGGTGTTTTTAAAATTAAGGTAAAAAACGACCTCTCGAATAACCCTGTATAATATGCCAAATACTGAAGTTTATAAAAAAAATTGTTTACGAATTAAAATTGAAATAATTATATACAGTTTGCTAAAAAATCATAAAAATAGGGCTAAAAATAACAAAAATAAAACACTTTAAATTTGACTTGACTTAATTTGAATTTTTCTCAGTTGCGTTTTTTTTCATCTGAGTGTATTATTTGAAATGAATATTGATTGATGGTTAGCAGTAAATATTAAATAATTAATAAAAAGATATTACATACCTGTTGAAGTGAGACAGCATATTCCTGAGTTCTCCGATTAACCAAAAGCCACTGAAAAGTTTTAGAGGTATTTATACCAACATTTTAATAATATTTATAAAACGTGCCTCATACTCTGCAAAGTTATGACTAAAAAAATCGAGCAAATGAATCCAACGTTCGTATTTTCTAAGGTAATACTAATGTCAAATGATCGATCTTATAGAAACAACCAAACCAAACATAAAGTTAATAGATATAAAAAGGGGAATCGCGTGTTTCAATCCATAATTGCTAAGCCGCATTTAACTGCGGATCATGCAATACGGTTTAGTCGTAATTTATAACGTATTTGTAGAAGGGAATTGATGTTATGGCTTTGTTTATTACCTCGTTGATGCCCAAAGTTAACCTTGGCAATATTTCTAACAATTTGTAAACGGTTAGGTTATATTTAGTTTACATAGTTGATTATTTTCACCCTTAGTTAGAAATAATATACAAGGTGATCCAAATTGTATTCAGGGAAACTTTGGCAGTATACTCTAGCGATAAAATAAATAAAAAAGGTTCTTAAAAATTTATGTCCTAAAATGCTTTGTTTCGGTGATACAGGAAGTAAAAGTTTCATTTTAGTTCAGTTTTTTCCAAATAATTTCTAATGTTAAATATTTTCCAATTTCTAATTGGAAAATTTGTGTCTGGGTATTCTCCAATTTGTAGGGGTGCCACCTACATTTTGAACTGATTTGAGAGTAATAACTTTTCGTCCCTACCTGTATAAACCTTCTGCTTGAAAAAATGTACATTTCGCCGTTTTTTTACGTAAAAAGGCCTCTAGGTAAAAGTCGTTACGACTAACGGTTCTCAAGATATTTGGAATGTAATACATGTCATTATTGACAAAAAATAAATATGTTGACTAGATAATTATTTGACTGAAATTGTGTGTTTCAAAAAACATGTGCCATCTCTCGTGGGGAGATTTCTCAGGTAAAAATAAGATTTATCTCTCATATCAACATAGGTCCGGTTCTGCTTTGTTTCGTAGCTACAGGTGTTAAAATATTAATAATTTTTTGATTTGTTATAATTTTCTTCCAAGTACTTTTAGCGATTCGAATGAAATTTTGAGGGTAAAAGTTACTATAAGTGCTACATATTTTAATGCTAAAAAAATGTCGATAAACTCACCAGGGACGTGCATATGCGTAATCACTGGAATATTTAAAATAAACGTGCGCCACTAACTTTTCTCTTTTGATATCAAAATTGTGTAGGCAGTTTAATGCCAATTAAAAGTTATCTCTTGATATTTTGTTGAATTCGGCCTCCTTGGTGAAATAAACACAATTTTATTAATCACAATTAATAAAATTAAAATAAAAATAAAATCAATAAATTATATATTTTACGTAATTCATTATTAAATATTATTACTATTAGTTATTATTACTATTAGTTATTATTACTATTAGTTATTATTACTATTAGTTATTATTACTATTAGTCCAACCTCAATTTCAAATAAAAAAATCGTATTTAAAATAATTACGTCTTGTAACATCTTGTAACTAATAAAACTATGCATTTCCATACTCATATTTATATAGGAACTTTTTTTCATATTTTTTATAAGGAATCAATGAGTACGTGTTTAAAACTTTTGCAAATTAATGATATTCGACATGATTTTAATTTTTTTAAAGGTTGCTATTATATAGTCTTGTTGATCAAGGCAAATTAATAAAATTGCGTTTATCTCATCAAGGAGGCCGAAATCGACAAAATATCAAGAGAAAACTTTTAATCGGTATTAAACAGCTTACACTATTTCGTTTACAAGAGAAAAAAAAGTCAGTGGCGTACATGCTTTTTTTTAAATATTCCAGATAACCCATATGCACGTCCCTGGTGAATATGTCGACACTTTTTAGCTTTAAAATATGTCGCATTTATAGCCACTTTTACCTTGAAAATTTGATTCGAAACGCAGTAAAAAGTACATGGAAGAAAATTATAATAAATTGAAAAAATATTAATTTTATAATAATATATTTTTAAAGTCTTAATGTTTTTTCTTTCTAAGCTACGAAACAAAGCGAAATCGGACCTATGTTGATAGAAAAAAATAATCTTATTTTTACGTGAGGAATCTCCACACGAGAGATGGCATAGGTTTATTGAAACACCCTTTATATTTGTGAACTTTTTATTTTTTTAAACGAATCAAATTTTTTTTCTAGAAAACAAATATAATGAAAGAGTTTCTGTTGAACCTTTGGCACAAAAACATTTAATATTTAGGATTTCAGTGTAATAGCCAAAAAATCGTGATAAAAATGAAATTCTAAACCCTGTATCTCCGAAACTAAGCGTTTTATACATAAATTTATACAAACTGTTTTACTTTTTTCGGATCACTTTTTATAAATGGATACATTACTTTCATTACTGTACTAACTGAGTGATATATGGATTGTGACGTTTTCTTGATCCAAGTCCTGTTAATTATCACTCTATATAATTTATAATAAATTATGATAACATATGAAAGTAAGATTAAACTCCGACATTTGAAAAGTGTTTCTAATAATTTATTATTATAAGTCAATTATTTTATTTAACGTTCAATATTATTGTATTCAGAATATTTGAACTTTATAAAATGTAATCATTAAATTATTTCATTGTGTTTAAGATTGTTGTGATATTATGTCATTACTTGACTACATAATGGATAACAGCATTAAATAACAATTTTTTGAAATTACTTGAGAAGATTCAACATATAAGATAAGCTAAAAATAACCATTAAAGTGTATAGAGGGTGTAGAGATCTTTTATTTGAAATTATCAATTATTCCTTTAAATAGGTAACTATTACTAGAAGTTAATCTTTTGATAATAATTGGAAGATGTGAGCAGTGGAAGACTTATCACTATCACAAAAATATTAAGCCTTACTATAAAAAGAATAACCATCCATATAACAAATCACAAGTCTATGGAGGAACATCCTTATGCTTGATGTACGATACATAAACTGATTTCTTTTCACTATCGTTCGCTTGTTTGTTATATTTGCCTCGCTATTGTCTCTATGTTTGTTTCTCTATACTTCTTTTATAATAGCAAGCAACATTTTAATAATTTTATATTTTTAAATTCTCACCATTTTGACAAAAGTAAATAAAAAGTAATAAATATTGTGTTGGGTTTGATATTTGGTTGATATCGAAATATATACCGTATGATCGAAAAAAAACGGAGTCCAGTTGGCTTTCCACAGCGATCTTCATTTCATAGCCGTCGCTGACGCCGTATTTTTTTCGATCATATTGTATATAATAAACAATATATAATTATTTTAATGTTACAATTTAATATTATATTTTAAGTTAGTATTCTTTAAAATAAAAATTATTTCGTGCTTCGTACCATGAAATCGTTAATAGTAAACTTAATCTATAAATAGAATTTTCCGACTTTTAAATAAACAAATAAAAAATCATCAAATATTTATTTAACAGTATTTTTAAAAATATAATAAAATGTTTCAATAAAATAATGGTTTATTACAAATATTTCTTGTATAGCTGAAAGACACAAAACGAATAAGTTACAATATTACCCTTCCATTATGGCTTAAATGTCATCCTCGAAAACTATATCATATTTCATTTCCTTATAACTAGGTTTAGCATGCAATTCGTACAACTTGGTCTTTTTATCGTCGACGTCTAAAATAATAAAATATAAAACGTATTATTTGGGGCAAAACATTCTGTCAGTATTGTATTAGGAAAGAAGCACAATTTTGTATAGTTCAATTTAAGCGTGAACAGAAGACCACAAAAGGACACATTAATTTCGTTACTGCACTAACTGAGTGATCTATGGATCGTGACTTTTTCTTGGTCTGAGTCCTGCGAATTATCACTCTTGTTGCTGCTAGTTTCTCTGTGTGCGCTCTCTTGCCTCAATCGGTCTAAGGCCTCGTGATTTCTGATCGCAGGCAAACTGTTTCTGTATTTGAACTTGTCATTCTCGGGTCTCGGCTTGCGTGCCTGCCTACTTCCATATCGTAGAAGTCGATTGGTCTTGGAATCTGGTGGTAATACCTAAGAAATGGCATATTAAGATAATTGTACCTATGAGTTACTGTAAAAATATATTGTCATATTCATAAATATAACGGAAGTAAAAAAGCAGACTGAGCAAGCAAAAGATGGATATCGTAGGTTTTAACTGGAAAGTATACAAACTAATCAAATGTCACTTAATGGAGAATCATATTTCATCTAGAATCTGGAATCATATTAATTACAATCCAATTGGACTAAAAGCTACAAAATTTGTTAGTGGTGTATACAATATATATACAAACAAAAATAATCCTTTTTTGTGTAGATTTTTTTCGTGTGGCCAGAAACCCAGAAGTCTTTTGAAGATAACATAATTTTTATCGTTGAAGACAGAACATTCACTTAGAAAACTAATTATAGCATTTAACAGGTAAACAATAATATGGTATAGAAGCACTGTATCAAGCACTGTATATTAGGAGTATATAGATAGAAAATTTATTCGTATACAGAGTGTCTTAAATAAGTGCAAATATTTTTAGGGTAGTATATTTAACCCCAAAAACACGCCTATGAGTTTTTTTCGCGAAACAAAAAATTAAAAAAAAAATTTGGGAATTTTGAAAATTTTGGATTTCTTTTATTTTTAGTTAAAAAAAATATTTTCATAATATGGAAACATAGGCAGTAAATTAAATTTACAAGAAAGAAAACCCAGAAATGATCCAGTGGTTCTCAAAATGGAAGAGAAAAAAAAAATCATTTTTTGGGAATTTTCCAAAGTAAAATGGGTATCTCTGTTATTTTGCACTTATTTGTGGTAAAATATGTTTCTTTTATCGAGATCTGACCGTGCATATGCCCTATCTTTTTAATTTACGTCCTATTGAAAAAACAGTTTGTTTTTTAAAAAAAAAAAAAAAAAGTTTTAATTTTTGCGGCGTGAACAATAAAAATACACTCTATAGCGGGTGTTTCCCCAAAAGGTGGCTCTATAATTTATTTTTATTTTGTAAAAAAGTAAAAGTTAAAAACTCTAGCAATGCGTGGCACT